CTTCACAGCAACATCTAGACTAGTGTTTGACCAAACAACTGGGCAACATAGTTCAGCCAGGCTTACACATAAAATTCATCATCACACTATGCTTCTCCTCTGTGTTCTTTGTCTTTCACATATCTGTTCCATGTGTTTTTCTTTGTGCCCTATCCTGTCATATCTATCCTATGGTTTTGTGGAAACTATAAGCCTTCTGGGGGTAAACACTGTATCTTGTTCATTGTTACACATCTTATAGCATGTCATGCCTGGCACATTGTTAACCCTTATTAAAACTGCTGGTAGCAGGTTTTAGCATTCGTCATGTGTGACAGAGGCCACTGTCATTTTTCTCCTGGAGTCACACTCCTCACCCAGCAGGAGCAGACAGGAGAGAGAAATACACGGTCAGCTGGGAAAATAAAAGGAAACAAAAGGAAAAGAAGGAAGACAAAGTAGGGAGGAACAGAAGTTTAAAAATGAGAGGAGAAAGCTGAAGACGCCATGTGGTGAAAGCAGTGTCCGATTCTTGAGCCCCCTTCCCCTGATGCCCGGTAGAGTTCAGCCGACACTCAGTTTCTGACTCAGTGTAGAATTCCTTCTGCATTTTCTGTTTCCTCTTTCAGCACCCTTCCTGGAACCCCTCTCATACCTTACCCACTTGGGTTCCTCAGTACTCTCAGCTAGGGTTTACAGTATGAAGCCAGTATTTTTTCAATATCAAGCCTTCCTGAGGCTTTTTTTCTGAACAACAGAGACGAAATACAGTGTTAATACATAATAATGTATTGCAATTAAATGCACAAATCTAGAGAAATGTGTTTTTGTGTGAAAAAGATCTGGTAATTCTGTGTGAGCCAAGGCATGCCTGTTTTAAAAAATCACTCCAGTCTTAGGACAAATTAACAGTATAATTTATTACAGATCGCCATAGTGGATGAGAAAAAATACATATAATTCATATCTGTAATTTTATAATTCATGTTATTAAATTATAAAATAAACTGAAATATTACATCCAATTCTAGATATCAAATTTTATGATGGGTGCTATCAAATACAGGTCATCCAAGAAGATAATAAAAAGACTGCATAATCTAAAAATCATCTGCTATCAGGAATGGTTTAAGTGACCTAAGTATTTAAGCTAAAGAGAACAAAAATTAAGGGGAGTCAATGACAGGTGTTTTCAAAAGCCCGAGGGGACCTCGTAAACAGCATTTTATACGTTTGTGTGTTTCTCTAAAGCACAGAGCTATAGCCAATATATAAAAATTATTGGTAGGCAGACTTAACATTCACCAATCTTTCTAAAAATGAAACAGCAAGAGCTTTACTGCCTTCTGAGGTCAGCAGCACACATGATTAGGGACATGGGCTCTGGAGTTAAGGCTTCCTCCCCAAACCCCCAACCAGCTTTCACTCCTTGCCTCATCTCTTGCAATCTGGGACAGGACAGAGGACACTTTTCTATCCAGGACAGACCTGAATAGACTCACATAAAAGGAGTATCTGGTCATCTTCTCTTGTAGTGTTCCTTTGTAGGTGACTAACATTTTGCATACACAGTGACACATGGCCAGGTGGAGTCTAGTCCCTGTAGGTGAGTGATTTTCTTCAACAGAGCTACATTATATAGAGAGAAAAACCAAGCCAAATATCTGAGTGTAGCAATCACAGACTCAACAAAATCAATTAGCTTTTGGTTATGCAGAATTTAAAAATGTAAGTCAGTTCTTAGAACCACAAGCTTATTCCTTAAAAAAGAAACTTACCGGCTGGGTGTGGTGGCTCATGCCTGTAATCTCAGTACTTTGGGAGGGTGAGGTGGGCGGATCATGAGATCAGGAGATCAAGACCATCCTCGCTAACGTGGTGAAACCCTGTCTCTACTAAAACTACAAAAAATTATTCGGGCGTGGTGGTACACGTCTGGAGTCTGAACTACTTGGGAGGCTGAGGCAGGAGAATCGCCTGAACCCAGGAGGCAGAGGTTGCAGTGAGCTGAGATCATGACACTACACTCCAGCCTCTATCAGACTCTGTATCAAAAAAAAAAAAAAGGAACTTTACTTTAGTCTAACATGACTTACTGCTATAGATAGAAGTCTCATTCCACTGCAAACTTCTTCCAAATGTAAGAATTCTTTTCACAGCATCCCCGAAAGAGAGCACTCCTGTGTGCTGCTGACCTCAGAAGGCAGTAAAGCTCTTGCTGTTTCATTCTTAGAAAGACTGGCGTATGTTAAGTCTGTCTACCAATAATTTTTATATATTGGCTATAGCTCTGTGCTTTAGAAAAACACTCGAATGTATAAACTGTGCCGTTTATAAGGTCCCCTCAGGTCTTTGAAAACACCTGTCATTGACTTCCCTTAATTTTTGTTCTCTTTAGATTAAATAACTTAGCCATTTAAACCATTCCTGACAGCAGATGATTTTTAGATTATGCAGTCTTTTTATTATCTTCTTGGATGATCTGTATTTGATAGTACCCATTATAAAAATTTGATGATAGCCAGAATTGGATGTAATATTTCAGTATATTTTATAATTTAAAAATATGAATCACAAAATTATAGTTATAAATTACATGTATTTTTTTCTCATCCACTATGGCGATCTATAATAAATTATACTGTTAATTTGTCCTAAGACTGGAGTGATTTTTTTAAAACAGGCATGCCTTGGCTCACATAGAATTACCAGATCTTTTTCACACGAAAATACATTTCTCTAGATTTCTGCATTTAATTATTTGAACCTAATTGCAGGACTTTACTTTTGTTCTTATTGAAATGTAATGTATTGAGGCTGGCCATGGTGACCTACCTCTGTAATCCCAGGACTTTGGGAGGCTGAGGTGGGTAGATCACCTGAAGTCAGGATTTCAAGACCAGC